GAATACCCTGCGTACATACAGAGTAAACACCATGAATGGTGCGGTGTATGTGGTACCACAGGTTTAGTGGATTCACTGGTTAGAGATTTATTAGGCTTTGATGGGCAGTTGCATTTATCATGAAGAATCAGTGTTTTTGGAGGATGTTTTGACCGGACTCTTCAAGTTTTAATAAAATTGCTGAAAACGTAAAATTAAATGAAAATCGAATTAAGATTTTACCAAAAGTTAGTCCTTACATGTTTGACAAGGGATATTTATGTAGTTATTTTTAAAAGTTTCTTATATCCCTTTTGCACTTTGAGTTCTTTGTTGAGGTGACGAATGCGGAAATAAATGCGACATTTATAAAAATATTTTTTTATATTTTCAGGGAGATTTACAGTTTCACTTTGGTTTAGCAAGTATTTTTGTAAAAATGGCATGTATGAAATTTTCGATCCATTTACTTTATGAAATATGAATTCCATCTTTTTTACTTCACACAAAAAGTTATCGTTTGGCTTTTTTAAGGAACCTTTTGAAATTTGATCGACCCATGAAAAAGAACTTCCATGATATTGGTATTCTTCAAGATTAAGCTTTTTTATGATATATCCTGAAACATATTCTAAAGCATCCTCTTGAAGAATACCAATATCGTCTGAAGTGTTTTCATCAAGGTCATCAAATTCACCAAAATCAGGAGATGATTCTTCTAGGTGAGTGGGGTCTTGAGTTCCTAATGCTCCGCAGTTTTGTGAGGGTGGAACAATAAGGTCATTGGAACAGTTAAGCCATTCGGTGGTATCGACTTCCACATTCCCTTTTCCATTGAGGTGTTCTGTATTTCTCGCTTTAAAGTAAATGTGTATATAAATATATTATTATATAATATTTATAAGTGTATGTTTTGAAACATACCCAGAATGTACTTTCGAAGTCTAAATTTAAAATCTCTGGGCGATGGATGATCATTTAAACCACCTTTGCTTCTTATCTTATCTTATACACCCCACCTTAAAGTACGAATCAGAATAATTTTATTTTGAGTAGATTTAGATATGTCCGTCAGTCCATTGTCGTTTCATGTAAACTTGTAACCAAACTGCAAGTCGCAATTTTTTAATATAATTCGATGAAATTTGTTTACTTGTTTTAAGATCGATATTTAATTACCTGGGCCTTTAACCGTCAGATGTTCAGTGGATACTTTATGCATAATGGACATATCAGATATTGATGTCTGGTTTAATAACTCTACCATGGTGCGGGAAGTCAACAGATCATTTTTGTAAAGAAGACCACTGTCCAGATAATGATTGCGAACTAATTTGATTAAATGGGGTGCATCAACGAACGTAAATATTTTCTCATCTGGACAGGAAGGATTAGGGAACCAAGGTTTTTCTAAAAATATAGTGAACTATTACACTGTGAGAAAAAAAAATCGTTCCTATCATTCGGGAAAAAAATATGTATTCCTTCCATTGGGATTACATATCAATTTAATGTTTCCGTAGTTTGTGGTTATGATGTTAGGTGTTCTTTGGTTTTTAAATATAATAATTTACTTGCCTGGAGTGACATCTAAATCATTCCACAATTTTCTATTTGTTGGTCCCATATCACATACAATGGCCACTACAACAAAACCTGCATTATTGAGTTGGGATATCACTTTGCTCAAAAGGTCTTTCGTTATCCTACAGTCGTAGTCATAGAAGACAGGCTGCTTCCATGACTTCCGAAAACCTCGAGCCATAATCACCTGCACATAGTTTGCAGGCTTTTTAACCTGGTCTGCAATAGGATCATACTCGAAGGTTTCCGCTACCTTCATTTCATCAAATGCTAAAACACATATTTTGTCTTCAGGTGCTAAGTTGTTTGTTTGCTTCATGAATTCAATTGAGGTTGTTAAAATACCCTCACTCACATTGATTTTTGAGCACCATCGCTGAAGCGTAGAAACTGAAGGCAGCGGAAATCCCTTCTGATAGAGGTGATTGTACGCCCTCGGACCTGAAGCATGTAAGACAATTGCACTTGATATATCTTTCCATTTCCAATTAATTGTGCCTGGCGACATCATTTTTCTTATCTGCCCTTCAGAAAATATGCCACGCATGGCTTCAATTGCCAAGTTGGCCTGGGCAAGTTGTAATTTTAAATCTTTGTTCTCAGATTCTAGTGCGCGAATTTTCTTGTTTTTTTCATCTTCGCCAATGGCAAAATCTGAGGGACTGTACAATTTTATATTTAATATTTTCCAGATACTAATCTATAGTCTAGTCTATAGTCTAGTCTATAGTCTAGTCTATAGTCTAGTCTATAGTCTAGTCTATAGTCTAGTCTATAGTCTAGTCTATAGTCTAGTCTATAGTCTAGTCTATAGTCTAGTCTATAGTCTAGTCTATAGTCTAGTCTATAGTCTAGTCTATAGTCTAGTCTATAGTCTAGTCTATAGTCTAGTCTATAGTCTAGTCTATAGTCTAGTCTATAGTCTAGTCTATAGTCTAGTCTATAGTCTAGTCTATAGTCTAGTCTATAGTCTAGTCTATAGTCTAGTCTATAGTCTAGTCTATAGTCTAGTCTATAGTCTAGTCTATAATCTAGTCTACAGTCTATAGACAAGGATATAGGACTAGACTATAGAACACAGGTCTTGTATAATAGCACAACTGTTCATAGAGATGAGCTATGTATTGTAGCCACAGGGCTTGTCAAGCTACTCTCTTTAGAAATATTTTTATATAAAACGTTTCACATATCCACAAAATGGCGAGATTGAATCGATTCGTAACTTTTTAATAAAATTTTACTCTCAGTTTGTGTGTCTTGATGTTTGAACTTTTCTTTAGGGGGTTTTGAAAGTTCCTCCCAAGTGAAAAAATGTTCAGTACTTTCGCCTCCAGTTGGTTTTACAAAGCATTGCGTTCTTTAAAAATATATAAAATGTTTAATATATAATTCATAATATATTAAGTTTATGTACTTACACAGCAAATGGAGATTCTCCAGTTGGACATGGCATATTATCTTCAAGTGGTTTTACAAAGCATTGCGTTCTTTAAAAATATATAAAATTTTTAACAATATAATTCATAATAATATATTAAGTTTATGTACTTACACAGTAAATGGAGATTCGGTTTCTAAATTTTTTAGTTCCTGAGCTTTCTGCACAGAAGGCTCAGCATTTGGCAAAAGTAGAACTTTATTACCAGAACGTATTATGCTGGTAGGTAAAAAATGTTCCTCGCAAATAAGTGCCGTTGCCGAAAAGATTTTGCCACAAATTTGGCCCCACAATAATCTTTTTTCGGGGTCTTTTGGCATTCTAAACAATGTTCCACCACCCTTTTCATATTTTTTCTTGCAAATAGTGCAGGATCGCATTTTGAATTTAAAATATTGGTAAAATTTCTTATAATTTTACTTTTTCTAACTGAAAACAATTTTAAATTTAAATAAATTAACACTGACAATTAGGAAACGGAAAATACAAGTAAATAAACTTTGACAGTTAGAAAATATAAAACAAATCGAACAAAAAATAATCAGCTGGCTTATTGACTTCACCTGTAAATAAATACATCTTGATATTAAGTATGTAGAGCCAGGATTGGGCGAGGACACATTAAAGGGGACTTTTTGGTACTTTTTCGTTCTACAAAAGGTACTTTTTGAACTTTCTATAATATTGAACCTAGAAACATGAAATTTAGCATGAAGGGCCTTGATTAGGTAAGAACCTATAAAAGGGGACTTTTTGGTACTTTTTCGTTCTACAAAAGGTACTTTTAGAATTTTCTATGATATTGAACCTAGAAACATGAAATTAAGTATTTAGAGTCTGGATTAAGTGAGAACCCATAAAAGGGAACTTTTTGGTACTTTTTCGTTCTTCAGAGGGTATTTTTTGAAATTTCTATAATATTGAACCTAGAAACATGAAATTAATTATGTAGAGCCTGGATTAAGTAGGAACCCATAAAAGGGGACTTTTTGGTACTTTTTCGTTCTACAAAAGGTAGTTATTGAATTTTCTATAATATTCAACCTAGCAACATGAAATTAAGTTTGTAGAGCCCGGATTATGCGAGAACACATAAAAGGGGACTTTTTGGTACTTTTTCGTTCTTCAAAAGGTACTTTTTGAAATTTCTATAATATTGAACCTAGAAATATGAAATAAAGCATGTAGAGCCCGGATTAAGTTATAATGTATAAAATGGGACTTTTTGGTACTTTGTCGTTCTTCTTTGTCTTGAATTTTCTATAATATTGAACCTAGAAATATTAAATTGTGCATGTAGTTGCCGGATTAAGTGAGAACCCATAAAGGAACTTTTTGGTACCTTACCGTTTTACAATTAGTATTTTTTGATTTTTTGTAATAAAATTCGTACTGACTGTTTTTTAACACATCATGGTGAAGGGTATATAAGATTCGGCACAGCCAAACATAGAACTCTTACTTGTTTGTTTTATTATTACTATTTATTATTTTATTATTATAATTTTATCAGTTAAATTATATTACAAACCCAGATCGGTCATATTGGAAAAGTTACGAACACGTTTCATTTTATTTTTCAATCAGGTTAGCACCAGTCTCACCCATAACTAAAAGTGTTAAATAAAAAAATTATTCAATATCTATGAACACATTTTTTAGTTTATAAATAGCGGCTGGCGTTTTTATTTGTCTTTTTTGTGATTGTTTTTATAATTCTATTAGACATTTTATTACTTTATTTAGGATGAAACGAAATTCCTTAAATGTGACAAATACGAATTTGTAAATTTTTTATAGTTAGATTTGATGTACACATAACATAATGTTGTACATATTCGACATACTTAGATATGAGAATTTAATACATAAATAGCTAATTAAATTTAAAACTTCTATCAGAATTTATCTTTACTGGATTGTAATTTATTTTGTATATAAACGAAACATTTAACTCAATAGTCGTTCACTCATCTGCTTCAGTTCGTCATTAGAAAATAGCAGCATCAGTAGCATTTAAACTGTTTTTATTTCAAAGGATATATTAGTCAAGAAAAAATAAACTCCTTCAGCAATTGTTAAAAAGTAATAAAAATACGATTTAAAATGCAATTTAAAGTTTTTGTAATGATCCTGATAGCTGGAACCGCTATCGCAAGTACACATGTGAATGTTTCGTTCTCTCAACATTCAAGTTCTGGCTCCACTGAACTACGAAATGATCATGTTCAACTTAAACCATCCGACTCCTTTGAACAATTTAATAACAACGATCAAAATGGCCGCTTTGCTAGAATTCAATTGGATGATAAAAAGGCCAACGTTGATATAAAAAGTAATGCAAAAGTAGTCTCAGCTGCAAAAGCAAATCACGAATCTACGGCAGACTACCGTTCAGAACATGCACAAAATGAAGGAGCATCTGGATATTTCGGATCCCAAGCACAAAACCAACAAAGAGGGTTTTACATTTCTAATCACGGAAACAGCAATGGTCAGTTTAGAAATATAAGTCCCCAGGATAAGCAAAATATGGAGTTTGAACGTTACATTCAAAATTATCATAGTGGACCAACCGTAGAAACCGTAAGTTAAATAAAAATATACCAATACCATACCCTTATAGTGATGATCATAAGGACGAAATACAGTTCTCAATAGAATGTGTCCAAAAAAGCGTTACACATCTTGAGAATGTGTAATTAGTTTCGTATTTTAAATGTATTGCAATTATTTATTAATTTTTTTAGGTGTATGAGTCGGGAAAATCAGAAATGCAACATACTTTGTCTACTTCAGCCGATCACGAAGGAAAACCACGTGTTTCAAAGTTTGAGCGGTTGGTTGCTGGATCTACTAAATCCGACAATGTTCAATCTCCCTCTGATGAAATTAAACCAATAGTTAACCATCAGCCAGTTACATCAAGCCACTCTGCCTCAGTGTCTTCAATATCATCATCAACATCGCCTTCATTATCGCCATCTGTTCCGAGTGTAGCAGTGAGTTCTACGAATGGTAACAATTTTAAAGTAAACCTTAACCAAAAACCAGCTCTAGTTGGCAAAGATGGTTTTAATTTCGATCTTAGTTATAATAAACCAAATTACAACGATCCCGGTTTCAAATACAATGAAGGAAATTCTGACGCCCATTTCTATAATCAATTTCCACCCTCAGTAGAAGAACCTCAAGGCGGTTATGGCCAGAATTATGGCAATATCTATAATAGGCAACAAGTCGCAGATGGATATAATCCAGTTGAACAGAGACCTGTTGTCACAAAAACTATACAAATTGCACAACCCGCAATCAAAGCTAAAAAGTATGAGGTTCGTCATCCCGCTATTCAAAAAGAGTTTTATGATATTGAGGAACGTGTTGTAATTAAGCCTGCTGGCACTGTAGTTGTGGAGCTAGAGAGACCGTCTGCTAAAATCCTTAAAGAAGAGACAACTTTACCTCTGGGCCTCCCTCATCCAGCTGTGGCCTCAGCATACACGCCCAACCGAAATACCCCAACATTTAGCAACATTATTTACAGCAATGCTGGATCATCATCGAATCATCCAAATAACCAATATATCCCCCAACAGACTTACAACAACGATAACATGCCTGATCATTTATCGAGTGGATCTGTTGTACAATCTTCTCCCAATTATGATCAAAACTCGAAAGATGTTATTTCAGAATCAAAACAAAGTAAAGAATATACTGAAAATCGTTTTCCTGCACCAACAACAGCAACTGTGCCCAAGCCACATAATAGAGAAATCGTAGTCGTAACAGACGGGCATGGAAATCAACGTCAAATGACAACTGATCAATTCACTTATTCACGCGATGAAACTGACCAAGCCCCTTCAAGACCGGCTTACAATCACAGAAGTTCATTTGCATATGATAATGGACGCACTAGTGGCCAAGCTAATTTATCTCCCCAACGATCTGGTTTCCAGGCTAATCTGGATAACAGGAATGGTTTCACTTTTGACGCTGAGTATATTAATAACTCTGGTAATACTAATTTGCGGAATGAAAACAAACCAGCGCGATTACAAGAGGCATCCGCTAGAGTGATAGAACATAAGCAACAACCACAACCCATAATAAAACATGAACATAAAATTGTGTTGTCACCTAGTCAACATAATATTTATCTAAGTCGTAATCAAGAGGTGCCCCAAACTAAATTCATTGAAGAAACAGCTCAAGTACGAGAAATTAAGCCACAGCTGCAAAATCATAGACCTGGTGTAGTGTACGCTTCGGCTAATCATGCAGCTGAAGTGAAATATGTGCAAAAAACAGAATATCAGCCCCAAGCCAGCGTGTCATCCCAAGTTGTACAACATCGTAATTTAGCAAAAACTAATCTATCAGATGGTCCAATTAATCGAGTGCAATACAGTGCTCCATATGCTCAGATGCGACACAACTCAGATGAAGAACAATATAACAATCAACAGGAGCACAAACATCAACTTCAAACGCAAAAAGTTGTAGCTCATGAGAACAAATCTGCAAAATTAATCGCTGAAGATACCCCTGTAAAAGATGAAAAGAAAACATCAATGGACAATACAATGGAAAAGGATGCTCCTCAGGCACATATCGAAATTAAAATCCCCCATTCGTCACATGATTCAAATAAAGCTATAGTTGTTAATTCTAAAATAAGACCCATGATGATGGACGATGATAGTGACCAAACTCACCATTCCAAATTGGAAATTTCTGTAACAAATAAAGGAGAATCTCAGAAACACCACCAACAACAAACATCGAAAGACGAATTCGACTACAACGACCAAAAGGATATTGAGGACAATAAAAATGATAGTGACATCGACAGTGAACATTTATCTAATTTAAAATCAAAGCCTGACTGTGATCAATCCTCTACAACAGAGGAAAAGGGAAATTACGAAGTTTCTCCCGATTACAATAATTATAGACAACAAAAATTCATGCGTATTGTAGATGGATCGAATTCTGCTTCCACGCAAACTGCTAACGAAGCTTCATCTACCAGCGAATCTGAAGCTGTTAAGACAAACAATCAACATCACAATGTAGAAGAAAATACAAAAAGTACTAGTGGTCACGTGAGTCCACCAGGATCCCGTGTCATTGCAGCCACACCACCTCTCAAAGAATCAACTCCCAGCGAAAGTTTCCATAAGCGTCGTATTGTTGTAAATCATCCTTTCCAGACCGTACGCGAAGTTGTCGAACACGAACCCTACACTAATTATCACGAAGTGCAAGTAAGTGAACCAGCTACGCCTGCCCTCTATCACTCTGCTAACTATTACCAACCCCATGGATCTTATCGTCAATCTAGAAATTGAAAAGTTTATTAAATATTGCGAATAATATGAACGTGCTGGTTAAATTTTAATTTCTGTTACTCTATGTGGTTAATGGTTAATATACATATTTGCGTTTATTTTATGAAAAATGTATTTTAGATTTTAAGTTGTAAATAAATGCATTGAAAAATTAAGAAAATGGATGATCGGAAAAATGTATGTACTTTAGAGTACTCTAAGCAGGCTATCTGACAAATCGTCTATTGTATTTTAATTGTATTTCATAACTTTCTTATTGTAATTCAGAAAATTCCCATTGTATTTAAGAAATTTCCATTTGTATTTTAGAATTTTCCATTGGTATTTCAACATTTTGAATGGAATATTTATGTACATTTTCTGAAATACAATCGGAATATCTGAAATATAAATGGAACATTCTAAAATACAGATGAAATTGGAAATTTCTGAAATACAACTGGAAACGGTGTAGTGTTGATACCTGTTAAGTTTCATTCAAAATAATATGATTGGTTTTAAGTATAGCGTCCAGGAGAAAAGGGTTTGTTCTTGGGTCCAAAATAATACGAGTGGTTCTCAATTATATGAGTTAAGAGTTGAATACATTAAAATCTAATTAAGCATGTAGAGCTCAGATTAAACTAGGATCTATAAAAAGGGGACTTTTTGGTACATTTTCGTTCTTTGACTGGTACATTTTTAATTTTTTATAATATGGAACCTAAAAACATAAAATTAAATATTTAGAGCCCGGAGTAAGTGATAACATATAAAGGTGGAAGTACACAACACGCGTTGAGGCGGCAACGCGTTACAGGCTTTCTAAGCGGCAAGTTACACACCACGCGTCAGTTTGATCTCTCTTTTAATGTTTTTTAAACTATTACTGTTTAAATTTTATGTTTTTGTATATTTTTTAATATTTTTCTTCCATTGTTGAATAAATTTATTTCATTTTAGTTTATTCTTATTCTACACAAAACAAAATACCACCCTGATCAGCTGCCGACGCGTCAAAAGCTGAAATTTGCTGAACTTTTCGCGGCAGACGCGTTACAAACTACAATGTGTAACTTGTTAAATGAAAATACACTACTTCAACTTTTTTTGACAGAAGCCTATAAAGAGTTGCCGCGTACAAAGCGCGTTGTGTACTTTCACCTTAAAAAGGGGACTTTTTGGTACATTTTCGTTCATAAAAGGATACTTTTTGCATTTTCTATAATATTGAACCTAGTAACATAAATTAAACACGTAGAGCCCGGAGTAAGTGAGTACATATAAAAATCTTTTTGGTACCTTTTTATTTTTCAAAAGGTACTTTTTATAATTTTTATGATATTGATCCTAGAAACATGAAATTAAGCATGTGGAGCCCAAAGCTAATGAGAATCTATAAAAGGGGAATTTTTAGCACTTTTTGTTCTTTAAAAGCTACTTTTGAAATTTATATAATAATGAACTTAGAAACATAAAATTAAGCATGTAGAACCAGAAGTAAATGAGAATAAATGAGAAAAGCGACTTTAACTGGTACTTTTTGAGCTTATTATAATATTGTCTGAAATATGTTTTAAGGGCCCTTCAGACGATCACACTTTACTACTTTCTAAAAAGTAGAATGAAATTCCATCCGTATGACAAAAAAGAGAATAAAATTCGTATGATTTATATTTTTGTGTTTACAGGATTGGTATAAAACAATAACAAAGTAAGATGGAAACAGTTGTTTTACTTTTTTGGTATGTGTTTACATAAAAATACATCCCTGATCTTATGCGACTTGCTTGTTTTTTGAATAATTTCAAAAAATGAAGAGAGCCATACGACTGTCAAATTTTCCATCCGTATTTTCTCTCAATGTGTGATGATTTCGTTACATATTGCGCATGGCGAAACTAATAAGGTGAAGTCATTTCAACAGCTGATTGTTTTTTTGTCCATGGAAATTTAGCCCGAAGCTGTCAAACTCCATATAAAAAAAATTCTCTCTCAAACCCGACGCTGTCAAACTACATATATAAAAAATTTCATGAATTCGCCGCAAAATGAAATGACTTCACCTTATAGTCTATTCGCCTTGATATTGCGTTTAGACGATCCCACAAAGTTCCGTTACGAAAGTTTTATCAGAAGGGGACAAAAAACAGGCAAAAAGAGTACATTGGTGCTTTAAGACTGTTTTTTCCTGTTCTAAAGCCAAAATATTGTAGACTATGAGTTTTATAGTCTCAGAAATATGTATATTTCGAAAGCACACCCATAGGAGGGGAAACGAGAATAAAGGGTATTCAAACTAAACCGGCAAAGACGGGTAATTATGTGTTATTTTGGTACTTTTATGAAATTTTAGAAATATGTAACATTTTTTCATAATCAGTCAAAAAATATGTTTTTCAAAAATGGTTTCTCAAAAAATAATTAGAAAGGGGAAAAGAGGAGTGATTCGTGATTTATCTTAATAAATGTTCTACATTGATTTCTGAAATAATGCAAAATTTATTAAATAACATAAATTTGGGAAATTCAATGGAGAATGAGGATTATAAGTGGTTAATAAGTACCACTTGAATGACGATAAGGTACGATAAGCTAACCTTTAATAAATTTTAATTCAATCAGTGTTTAATTTTGGGTTTTGTCTTTTGTTCAATATTATGAAAGATTCAAAAAGTACCAGTTGAAGAAGAAAAAGTACAAAAAATTTCACTCTTATAGATTTTTATTCCGTCAAGATATAGTATGTATGTACATTAGGGTGGCCCGGTTTGTATTGCTAAAAAGATCTTTTTGAGGATTTTATGATTTTTTTCATATTTTTTGCAATTGAAAGATATGAAATTTTCGTATCATATAAAAGGTCCTTGACAGACGCTTTCAATGACATATAAATGTTTGTGTAACAGCAAACTTTAACTTTAAAAATGCTTCAAAAGTAATCCACTTTTGGAGTATTATTAAAGTGTGAAATTATGCTTATTCTTCTTAATTTTTCCTTCTTACCTGCTTTCATACCTACTTTCATAGTACAGTATTAAAATTTATAAAAGTAATAATAATTTTCATAAAAAATTTCATTAACATTTTATTATACTTAAAAATAGTACATAGGTATATGTATATTTATGTAAATAACTTAACATTTATACTTTAAAATAAATTTACTTTTAAACGATTAATTACATTAATTTATTTATTACACATTTAGATAAGAAAAGAAAATTAATTATTTTCTCAATTTCATCTACGTTTGATATAACCTGCATTTTTAAATAACTTGTATACCATATCACGGGGTATCTTCTCAGCTTCACGATCTATAACTGGCATTTCTTTATCTGTGAACCAGGATTGTTTGGCCAATGCTGCTGCAATGTTGGGATTACTGTAAAAGCGACTACTCTTCGAAAGTTCTGGTGGCAATTGAGCTTCGCGATGGGCATTTGCTACAACAGACGGATGAGCATAGGGTTGTGAGACAGGGGCTAAATGTTGATGATAAAAGAATTGTCCATTACAGAAAGCTGCCGAAGTGACAAGGAAAGCAAATAACACAAACATCGATTGCATAATTCTAAAAAGAGAAATATTAATATTATTATAAATGTGAAAACTAAAAATGTTTGGTCTTTTTTGCGAAACCTTCAAAATTATCTGCCAATACAATACAATACAATACACACTATTTAAATGAGTGTAACTTTTCACCTATTGGTCCTAACAAAAATTGCCCAAAGGGGTTTAGATATGTAGCTATTTCTTCAATGTTTCAAAAAAAAAAAAATATTAATTAAAAAAAAAATTAAATGGTCCTTTTTTGTTTTTTGCTCAAAAGAAAGTCTTATACAATTTCCTTTAAAGGCTTTATAGTCGCTTAATGGGATGCGAGATAGAAACAATACTACTTACTTAACTTCCCAGCAAAAAAACTTCCAAAGAAGCGAAAAATAAGTAGAATTTACTCCATGGAAGTACTGAAAAAGACCTGAAGAAGTGATGATTTTAACATAGGAGGGATGTCCTTTTTATTTGATTCCAAAGTCACTACTTCTGAAGTCATTCTCAAGAAGCAATTTTTATGCTCTTTTTTTGGAAGTAATTCGGAAGTGAAATTGTATTATTATAGAATACAACTAAAATAATATTAATAAAATAAATTTTAATATAATTATTTTATATAGTGAAAATTATAAGGCCTTCTTGTTCAAATTTCTTATAAATTTAGAATTTTTTAAAATCGTGTTTCAATTTTAAATACTCATAAACTTAACAAATGAAGTAATTTATTCTGGAGTGTAGGGTATATTGTGACGATTTTACTTCATTTTGATAATATTTGTAGTTCATTAAAAAATTCCTAACCCCAAATTTTAATATTAGAATCGTAACATTTTTATGATTTTGTATTATCACGGAAGTTTTAAAATAAAGGGTCAATATTAAATTATATATTAAGAAGCACAATTACATAGTCTTTAAAATTGTTAAAATTATCTTCGCTTTAATAATTCTTAAATTTCCAAGAATTTTCAGACAGTTCGAAAGTTCAGGCTTTTTAAAAACTTTAAAAAATTGTCATAAAACTGTTTTTGAAATAAAATTATTTAAAAACAAGAAATTAAAGTAAATAAATTTGTATAATTATAAATTTATAGACACTTCAATTAATAAGTTTTAGGTCCGTTAACTTATTCTGCATGTTAAAATAATTTTTGTATGAAAACTGTCAAAATAATGTTAGGCTAAAAGAAACCAGACATTGAGATAATGGATGTTAATCACAGTTCATGATTAAACACAACATTTTCATAACCAGGGAAACCAAAATATACAAATGCATGTTTTTTGTGGACTAATAGATAAGATATTCACACATTTTAAAACAATTTAAGAATTTTGGCATGGATTTGTTAGCGCACATTTTTGCATATGGGCATTTCCAAAATGTCGAACGCGACAGTTAAACAGTTAAGTGATAAAAATGTCAAAATAAAAGTAATTTTTATTTTGGCAATAAGCGTTACTTATAGATTTTAATTAGCCCTATAATTGGTGTTAGGTTTAATTTTGGGTAATTTTTAATTTCAAAGATAATTGCAAAAAACCAGGGTGTTCGAACGCTACAAAAATAGAAGTTGTTTATTTTGCAACAATTCAATTGACGATTTCAGCGAAACCTAAGGTCATATTTTAATGGTTATAATTTTACCCTAAAAATTATTTATACTTTTTTTAAATTTAATTTTGATTATGTTCGAACGCGACATGTTGAATGCTACATTTTTTCCTACTTGATATTTATATATGTTGTTCCTGTTGATCCTGTTGTACATATGGGCAATTTTGAAAAAAAGTATAAGAGAGTTATGGACTTTTAAGAAATTTGCTAAAAATTACCTATTATGGGGACTATGGTCAAATGAGGTCCAATTGTTACAAAAATCGGCAGTACGGTTGATGATCATATAAATTATAGATCTGCCGTTTTTTGTAGAAATACTAGTATATTTAACGAAATTATGAGCTCAAAAGTGTAATTTAGGAGTCCGTTTGTATGGGACCTAAGAGTACACTTCGTCTTTAGTATAATAGGAGCCCGTGTATCAAATTTTGTTAAATTATTTTCAAAAATGCGAAAGTTAGAAGGGTTTTTATATGTTCAGTCTTGGTCTTGGATCTTCTCATGGAAATGTCCATATTTTACACATAAGAGCATAATTTTAATAACATATACATATGTATACATATAAAGGCATATTTCGAGCTTTTTTGAGCACATTTCAAATGGTTTGCATATATGTATCTATGTATTTTAATATTTTATGCTTTATTTTTATATTTTTTAAATTTTCAAAAATTTATTTTTTTCAAAATTCTATTTCTTTTAGTTTTTTATCATTCATGTTATTTATTACATAGTGAGACAAAATAAACGAAAATTGAAATACCTGGGAAGTGACACTATTTTTCTAAAAGGTGGATCCGAGTAGAACAGGAATCTGTTCACACATATTTCTCCAGGTCAGTTAAACATCATTTTAAAGGCCTCAGCTTCTAAATCCGTTGAGGAACTTAATATTAGTTTAGAATCTAAACTTTATATTCAACTAAGTTAAAGACTTATAAGTGCTTAAAGGTATGAAAAACCTTTTTTTACCCGTATCTCAAGATTTTGAAGGTGTTTGGCAAATTTCAAAAACAGATTCTTGTTGTCCACGGATTCACCTTTCAGAAAAATAATATCACTTTCCAGTCACATAGTGTTATTTATTGATAAAATGGAATCTTATTAAACTTTAACAAATTACTTTCTAAAAAGAACATTTATATCCATATTTATTTAAAAATATGAACACTTTTGTGAATTTCAATGTTAAAAAATCTTTAAAGCTTTTATTTTTAGAAAATATTTTATACATTTTAAGAGCATATTTTTCGTTTTTTTTTTACAACATAGTTAAAACACTTTTTAAAGAGCATATTTTTGGTTTCCCTGTTCATAACCTATTCTGAAGTTTTACACAAATTTATATTTTGTCTGACTATCGATTAAAATTGAGGTTTTTCTGAACTCATAATAAAACGTTTTCAATTAATTACACTGTATGTGAAAATGACACAGAAAAACGCTGAGACATGTAAACTTAATTTTAGATCGTAGAATATAATAGCATACTCCGTTTTGAAAAGTTTGGTCAAAATAAGGTGATATTGTACTTTGAAGTTTGCATTGTCTTTGAAGCGATTAATAACGGAAATTTTAAAAACACTTCGTATCACATCCCAAAAATTTACTACTTTTAATGAAAAACCCAAACAGTGAAAAGTTAGGAGTCACTATTTTCCGATTTCGTTCGGGCAGCATGTGGTCTGTGGATAAAATTTAAATACTTAAAAATGCTCTCATGTAAACGCACTACCAAGCATATTTTTCGATTTGATTCGATTAATTTTTAAAGTTCTATTGTAACAGATGTCACAAATTTTCGACCGCACTCCTATGTAATTACTTATTAATTATAAAAAAATCAACATTTATGAATTCATATAATTTGAAGCCATAATATTATAATATAATATTTATTATTGTTTGTTTTAATTATATTTGCATATGTTAATATATATGTAAGTGCAATTTAGTTATTTTTGTTATGTTTATTGGGACACACCCACAATTTTTTTTAACACTTACAATATTTATTAATAATTTTGTTTTTAACCTGATTTAGTTCTACTATTTTAGTTTTGTACGTTACAGTCACTGTTTTATAAAAAACTGACATTAGAATTGCTCCGTTTCGATCTTTTATGTTAAAAGCACCGAATGCCACACATTTTCTATAAAAAAAAACTGACTCCAATAGAAATAAAAAACAAACAACAAACAGACTTTGGAATAGATTGGAGGAGAACAACCTAAAACATTCTCATTCTCATATATTTACATTCGTATGGATGTATGTTGATAGAAGTTAGTCATTCCATTCAGTAATTTAGCAAATAAACAGGCTGTGGTAGTAGGTATACGCTGGATATGTATGCTGCTTGATAATCATTGACAAAGCAATAGCATAAACATTAAAAAAACAATAACAATTGCTACTTACTTTGTTTAAACAATAGTTTTTACACGCTCACAAATATATTTACATACATATGTACATACATATTTACATTTGCATGTATTTAATGTATTCATACCAAACAAACTTCTTGGTTAACTCTTTAGTAATGAGACACATTTAACATTGATTGTTTTAATTTAGCACTTCTATATAAATACAGTAAATTATAAACATTAGGGTAGATTTTATAATATTTCCCATTTTTTCAAATACAATTTTACTCGTGTCATCAAAAATCCATCTTTTAGTTGAAAATCTAGGAAATGTTTGAGCAATATACATAGTATGCTATTAATCGATCGTAATGGGGCCGCGATGCTGCACAATACACAAATTTATCAAATTTATAGATGGGTAAATGTTTTGCATATGGCATTGTACTGATCAAATTTACGTTTTCAGTTTTATTTTATATTTATTATTCGAATAGCTTTTAACAGTAAAAAATATAATTTGTTGCATAAAGTATATTTAAAGAATTTGACATAAAGTTAATCATTGTGCATTTTTGACAATTTAAACAATTTAAACTTTACATATTTCTCTTTTAATTAAAATTGTTCTTTATATTAATAAAAAATTAAATTACTTATGCGGCCTAATTAATTTTATTTTGTTATACTTTTCTTTTAGTTAGTTCAATAGTAATTTCATAAACACTCAGATAAAAAACAGGTAAGAAAGTATAGTCGGGCTTGGCTGACCATATGATACCCTACACCAGTTATGAATATTAAATGTGATTTATTTTTCATAAAATTTTATATGGGGGATAGGAGCAAATGTGGACCGATCCCGATAAAATGGGCTGGATAGATTTGTATTTATATAATATTTGTCTGTGTTATATTTCATTGCAATAACAGTGCTAAGAAATGAATTGCGGATATGCAAGTCACTTTCTGAAGGGGGCTTTGTATGGGGGCTAGGGTCAATTGAAGTCCGATCA